CATAGTAAAAGGAAGAGCTTATTGCAAAAGTAAAGATTAATACGGTTACTATCTTTACGAAAAAAATCATATTAATCATTTTCCACCGCAAAGTAGTTTGTTTTGGTCTGTCTTTTTTTATATAAAATAATAACGTAAAGAAATCAAAAAGCTGAATTTTATTTATTTATTTTTTGCATTCTCAAACAAGCATCTTTAAGCTTAACTTTACCAGTCCAGTAAAACAACTAAGAATTGTTTTGCTTGACTCAATTTTAAGTAAGGTTACTAAGATATCTGCGCACTACCCTTCCGACCAATCAAAAAAAGCATCTCTATTTCGTGATTTACCGCACGCATTTTCCCTCCCGCGCTTCGGCGCCAGCAGGGCGCGCGCTAACTGCTGCGGACCGCGTCTATTGTAAAGGGCTGTGATATTCAGTATTGTTTTCGGATAATGTGCTGAGAAATAGATACTAATTCATGTTCTAAATGGAATCAATATAACTTTCTCATCACCTGACCGCTGAAATATGATTTCCTAAAAAATCAATTTCAATATTTATTTTTTATATAATTACTAGAGTTGTAACCATCAATTGACCGTATTTCACAAACATTCAATCATTCCATATAGGATTTCAAGTTACATTTTAATAGTCCGTGTCGGTAGTGAAGAATGTTCAAGTGTTTCCCAAAGCTCCCCCCCTTTCTTATCCCAAGATAATCGTTACACTGCTTTCCTGCTTGAACTTCGTGTTAAATGCTTTTTATATCACCAAGCAAATACTCCGAAGAATTATAAGCCAGTAAACTACGTCAAATTGTTGTTAGATCCATAAACTGCAACAGTTGTGAACGGGGTGAGTGGAGAAGAAATAAAATAATACTCGGGCTTCACAACTACACTATCGGCTCCAATGTACACCGGGAAGATGGAAAATTATCGGTTTGAATGGTGACACCGTAGTATTTCATCCACAGAGCTTAACGCTGAAGTTACCATTTACAGCGAAATAAAAATGGTACTACGTACAGGAAAGTCCTAGCTCATCTCACTATAGCTCTAATTTGCATGGTCATTGGAGCAATTTGGGAGTCCCCAACCGATAAGGTGTATTTACTTGGAGGATGAAACAGAGTTGTAATAAAAGGCTTCGCACACAAACGTAAACTAAAAGAATCTTAGATTACCTTGTACAGTACAATTAAGTTGCAGTAAACAGTGCCACAGAAAAGTACTGTTCAGTAGCTTTCATTTCAATAGTCTCAATTCAGTTTTTCATCCACAGACTCGAAGTTAGAACCACTTTGTACAGCCTAATAAACAGTACAACAGGAAAGTACATCAGCGTTCGCTTGAACGATCACACTTAAGCATTTTATTCGCTACACGCAAAACAGCGGCACAGGCAAAAGCAGTCTCTTTCAATCTTGAGCTTTCTGGTTGTGACTTAAAACCAGTACCGCATGAGATCTATAGACTTTGGTTCTTAGATGAAGCCTACAAATTTGAAAAAAATGAAATAATAAGCATGAGTAGAACTTTTCTAGTGAAATTTTATTCCCCGGTATGCATAGCTTGGAATAATAACTATCCCGTACCTGTGTGTCTGGCTTGCAGACGAACTCGCTCGATCAAGTCTTTTGTTCTCGGCGTTATAATCTGCCCTGTCTTAAGTGTGTTAAAGTTCGATCTTAGGTCACGAGATGAAGTCTTTTACCTCGGAATCTGTGGATCAAACAGTCGCGCTGGCTCTAAATCTCCAGCTGAAAGCAAGAACCTGTATGAATTTTTTGGCGATGGTATGGGTCTTTTGTTGTTCCAGGACGAGGTTACAGCGTTGGAATATAAACTAATTTTAATCGTGCATCCTTTAATAACAACCAAAGTACTGATCAAACTTAGGTAAAAAAAAAACATGCAGGTCCTTGCAAGCTGGATGTACTTAACCTGTAGACTCTTGTTTCTTTTTGTCCTTTAGGCGTTATCTATTTGCGGGGTGAACTGGGGTCTTAGTTGCTGATCCCTACACGTGTATGACACTCCATGAACCACACGTTATCTTCT